AATGTCGGTTTCTCTTTGAATGTTTTTTGTTGAATTTTTATCTCGGAAACCTTTTCTCTTTTCTCCACATTTCAGTCATTCTTATTTTTACTCCAAGATATTCTACGTGTTTTTCTTTAGAATAAATAAAACTAATTTCTTTCAGTCATTCTCTCCTGACGATGCTAGTAAGGATCGAAATTGTATCACAAAAATAATTGTAACTTTTAATCGCTCATTCATATATAGTCAAGTGTGATTTTGGAATTACTTCATCAATACATAATTTATTATATACATATAAACCATAGGATTGTACAATTATAAATATTAATAAATAACTGCTGTAAAAAAATAGATTTACAACCGAGGATTATCATTAAGTCTATTTTTAAAAAACCTAGGAGCACTAAGTAATGAAAGGATTATATCAAATAATCCTTACATAGTTTTGTTTTTTTGAAAATTAAAGTTTTTTTTTCCAAAAATGCCACTTTTAAATCTTTTTTCAACATTTTAGTTTAAATGTTTTCAACCGTAACGCATGATTGAAACGTTGTCCACTATTTAAATTATTCGGACTATTGTCCTCATCTTTGTCACCATATTTATTACAATGTTTCGGACGTTGTATGCTCCGGCTTTCTTCAGGTGATTGGAATGTCGAACTGAACCCATTATTTCGCTCACTGGGGTAGACTGTTCTATTTCCACGTGCCATGTTTAATGGATGTCAGTTATCAGTTATCTCCTGTTAATTCCCTCTCCAAGTTCTCCACTGCCTTAACCAGGTATTGAACTCACGCTCTTTGGATCCTGTCACTAGATATAACTAACGCCTTTATCCACATTGTCATGTGTCTTTGAGGACATCCATTAATATCCTTTTATTATTGACTTTATAATTAATCTTTGACTATTTTCAGTTAACAGAAGAACGGTACTTAATTACCCACCAATCGTAGAAATAATCAATAATAACAAAAAACAAACAAAAACAAAAAAAGAACAAGTAAAAACGATTTGATTCAAAATACATACATACATATATATATATATACAAATATATATATATATATATATATATATATATATATATATATATATATATATATATATATATATGCATATATATATATGCATTTCTTTATATTTTCTTCTCTTGATAAAATAACACAAAATTACAATTAACCATTTGAATTACACAAAACATTTCCTTTTTATATATCCAATTATTTTGTTACATCAGAATAAAATACAGATAGAATTATCATTTATTGAAAAAAAAATCATTCTCTCACACATTGTCTTATCACTTGTTCTTAACAAACGTCTGTACATGATTATATAATACAAGTTGTTTTTTTAAATTTGTTTTAGATGCATTCGGATCGATGCAATTGTTCGGTTTGTATAAAGTTGATTATTTGATTTTTCTGATATTAAAAGTTCTTTTTTACAGGTTGCCGCTCATGCATGAATATTATTTCATATTTGGTTCGACTTTTAAATGGTTATCTTATTATGACAACCAACTACAAGACCAAGAATGAAGCCTTTCGTTTTTTGAATTCAGCGAATAGAGTCAATTGCTTTGTATGTAATACTGAGTTGTATTTTTCATCTGAAATTGTGTATTCGATGTTGCGTACATCAATGACTGAAAAAATCAACCAGGTTTTAATGAACGACTCTCAAATAACTTGGGAGTCATCACTTTGTAAGTATATAAAGTCTCTATATAAATATGCATCTGAATGAGTGTTATAGGTTTATGTACAATGTATTGATGTCTGTACATGTATGCGTTCACAAATTTGATTGTATTCATGTGTGTCTACCTGCATTTCAGAAAAAAGTCGTTTTGCAATGATAATCGATTAGCTGAAAGACAATAAGGTGGCTCATCGTTCAGCCTGAGTGGGTCATAACGGCAAAGATTGAAATACATTGGAAATATTTTTAGAGTGCCGTCCAAATAAGAATAATAAGAATACTTGATATTACATGAGTGCAAAGTCGTACATTTCCTTTTGATAAAGAAAAATAATTGTTCCGTTTACATTTTTTCTCTTACAATAAATTGGAAATACTTGTGGGTCAAATTCAGCGCGCAACATTTGTACATAAATGAAAGAGAAAAAACAATAATAGTAATAACAAAAAGTCAATAGCTAATCATTATAAATGAAATGGTATTGTATTACAAGGGTTGATTGATAAATAAGTTTTCCAATCGTATGAAATATATTTGAGACCAGACACGATAAACTTGTATCAAAATGAAGTAAATATATTTCTTGTAAAAATTACAAGTATATTTTTCATCTACTAAGTGCTACAAATTTTCCAAAATCTTTTTTTTTATTTTCTTCATGAAGTCTCTGGTTTACTTTTGATCAATTGTACATTGCAAACTTCAACTTTCGATTAAAAATCTTGACTTTTTGGCGCTTCTTTCAATTTTAGGATTAAACAGAAAACTAAAAAAAAAAACAATACGGAGAATGTGCAAAAACTTTTTTTTTCCACCGTATTCACCATTTGTTGTTGACGGCAATGCAGCCTCGTGTGTTGACGCGATATAGAACATAATCCCATGTAAGCATTTGATGAGTGTACACAAGGTTTCAGTGTGTTCACATGACTATGAATTTCATAAATCCTCTCACTGATTGCTCTTGTAGACATAACTCAAATGTAACAGTTATGACTAATGAACGCTATTACTGAATGTCGTTGTACATCAAACTGCTCATTAAATACGTTTGAACAGGCCTTTAAATACCACCGAATATGTGCTTAAACATGTTTTCATATCCACTATTAGCGACGCAACATATTTATTAATCAACCCTTGTAATATGATTAGCCAAAATTCCTATTATGTTGCTGTCGATGTATCAAATCAACAATTTCGTTGAATTTTTTTGTAATTAAATCAATGATATTTTTTCGGAATGACTTTTTAAATAGTAAATGTTCGAGTTTTATTGAAAAGTGAAAAGTTTGAAAATCTTTTTTTCTCTTCAACTGCTTTGAAAAACATACTCGACAAAAGTCAATCAATCTGATTCTGCTTTGACTGGGTATCCAACCAGAAACCGATCACCATTCTTCCTTTTCGAAGTAAATACTTTAAGGTTTCATTTTTTTACTTCTGTATTTGTGCTGTTATCCATTATAGTAAGTGATGCATGCACAATTTACACGAGATTCAAGAAAGAAAATGTCCATTTTAAAATGGCATTTTAATTCTCATTGTCTTTTCATATATATTTCCCTCTAAAAATTATTGAGCAATTTAATGCTTGCTGTAATTGTTTTCTGACTGAAGTTGACTTAATTTGTCAACTAAAACACTTCAATCCCGTCATTCAACAGCAATCGAAGCCATCACTTCAGTCAGCGTCAACGTTTTCACCATAAATAAAACATTAAAAAAAAACAAAAAAAAAACATAATAATAACGACAAGCGTAAACAAACTTCATGAGATTCAACTAAAATAGTTTCATTTTCTTTTAATAATAAAAAAGTGGCATTGAAAATGTGGTAAATCCGTAATAATAATAATAATAATAATAATAATAATAATAATACGGAATGTATCGACAAAATGTCAGATGATAATGCAAAAATATCCACCAGGTGATTTTAATTTCTTTACAGATCTCATACGCATATTAACGTTCATATTGTTTGGAATTCAATTTTTACTCCATCTTTTTTTTCTAGAAATATCTTCTCATAGTTGGCATTAATTTCTTTTGTTATTTCACTTTCTCGTGCATTCAACGTTTTCTTTTTTCGTTACGTAGAATTCGATTTGATAGGTTTCTATTTCTTCTGTTTGCAATGCTCACTTTATACTGTTTATAAAGCAAATAAAAATGTTCATTTTTTTTTATGAAAACGTCTGTTGTTCAGTACATTTTAGAGTTTGAGATGTCAACAAATAAAGAAAGACAGTAATGTACAAATGAGAATAAATAGAATTAAATAAATTCAAATTACGTTAATTTTTTTTCGATTCTCAAACAATTCATTCGATTTTTTTTTATTTAGAGCTGCGGAAAGTTCATTCAATTACACACGCATATGTATAAAGTCTTTTCTTGTTCTGCTTTTTCTATTGTAAATTGTGAAATATTATATACGTATATGTGTGTGTCTTTGTTTTGTATTGTCTTTTATGTCTGATGTATATGAAAATATAAAATTCAAATGCCTCTCAGATGGATTGAATGGCTTGTTTTTTGGCTAAGTGTCACTTTGAATTTGGGCCAACATTTTTACTGTGATACAGCCCAAAAGATGTACAACAACAAAACCACAAATACCTCTGTATCAATACTGCACAAATATCGTGTATCAATACTGCCTCTTGTCTCGGACGAACGGCCTTAAATATTATGAACTTAGGTAAAAATCATCAGAATGGAATGTAGAAGTTTGTGTTGATGTTTTAATAAATACAATTATTTTATCTCAGTTATTTAGCTTGCTTTTTAAATTGAACAATTTATGATAAATCTTGTTTGTAAGAGTGAAATTGCAATACATTATAATTATTATAAAGTTTTGGCTGTTAATTTCCACAATATCTAATAAGTTTATTTTGAAAATTAAAAACTGCGTGATTTTATTAATCAAAATGATCCTCAGTGTGAGGATAAAAATGTTAATTTTGCATTCAAAAGAGAAAATTTAAATTAGATGGATTTTAACCGCATTATATTTCTGTTTGGAACTGCTTGTGCACTTGTCAAGTAAAATATTTTTCAGTACCTTTGTCGCTTTATGTAGACATATTCCATCGAACTAAATCGTTGTTTTTTATTACGTAAATTAATTTTAAGTAAAGCGTATGTCGGTACAATTGATTATAATTTTCGATTTTTATTAATAATTAAATGCGTTATTAAGTGAAACTTGTTTTTCCCGTTTCATTGTGTCTTTTATTCCTGTTGACAATGTAATGTTTAAATAGAAAATGTGTTTCGTCGACCTCGTTAACTGTTATATCAAAGATGAAATCTTATGTAATAAACTTGTGGCTGATGAATTGAGAACTAGAGGGGAGAGCAAGGAGCGATGACAAGCCAGGGGGTTTTGAGATAGGAGCGCTGTGGGTCGGGAGAAGAACACTGCAGCCGCCTGCGTCGAGAGAGATGACTGGGCGGCAGCTGCTAGCATGCCACTGGTGCCCGCCGAGCCGGCACCCAGATTCTGGTGAACGAGGTGACCATGATGGGAATGAGAATGGTGATGGTGTGCGTGCGGTCTGCCAGATCCCGCCCCACTAGTTCCACCACCAGGCGCACCTCCACCACTCCCCGGCGACGGCATCAGGCCGCCAGTGTCGTCAACAACGCCACCGACGTTACCGTTCGCGCTCATTCCGACGCCACTATTGCTCCCAACAAACGCCGAAGACGAAGAGGGCAACGGTGCCCCTTCGTGTAACTTGCGCATGTGCTTTTTCAGATCGAAGTTCCGACAGAAACCCTTTCCGCAAATCTGGCACGTGAAGGGCTTCTTCTCGTTGTGCGTGTGCATATGAAAGGTCAGGTTGTAGATCTGGTGAAAGGCCTTGTTGCACACGTTACACTTATACTGCTTCTCGCTGCTGTGTGTCAGTTTGTGATTCTTGTAGTTGCCCTTCTGATGGAATCCCTTACCGCAGAATTCACAGACGAACGGTTTATAACCTTGGTGAATGCGCATGTGTGTGTTGAGAGTTGAGCTTCTGTTGAACGCCTTGCCGCAGGTATTACACTTGTGCGGTTTCTCCGATGTGTGGATGATTTTGTGGCGGCACAGGGTACTAGCCTGTCGAAAGCCCTTCCCGCACACCTTGCATATGAATGGTCGGGCCCCCGTATGCACCGGCATGTGTCGGGTTAAATTGTAATGTGCGTTAAAAATCTTCCCACACTCGGGACAGGTGAAAGTCTTTTGAGTTTTCAGGCCGTTCTTTTTGGCCGTCGGCGGGCGCCCAACAACAATTGGAGAGTTACTGCCGTTGCTACTTGCTGAAGTGAGATCCGTAGGTGACACCATTTCGCTATCTGACGTGCTAACGACCAACGGGATTTTAGTTGAGCGGAGGTCGTCAGCTGATCCTGAAATATTAACGCTAATTCCACTTGTATTGCTTCCTCCATTGTTAATATTAATATTGCCATCCAGCTGTTTCGAGCTGTTGGAAGCAGAGGTTAATGCAAGCGCCATGCTGGGCGGTTCGCTGTAGCCATTGCTGGAGTCTAGCAAGGATTTTCGCAGACCCATAGTGCACTGATTGACGCCGGATAGATTCTGTGTATGTTTCCATATACTACTGCCTCCGCTACTCCCACCGCCGCCATTTGCTCCGCTGACATTGCACCCAGCATTACCGCTAACCCCGTTGCTAGCATTTGAGTCCTTTACAAGATAACCACTAGTCGGTGCATCGATTGCTACCCCCTTATCAAAAGGAGATTGATATTTAGGTTGAGTTTGGTGCAGTCCTTGAAAGCTTGAACCCTTCAGCATGTTCAAAGCTTCTAGATTGCGATCTTTTCGCATCGAACTGGAATTGAATGCTAAAAAAGGGTATTGACGCAATAGTTGTGTTTGGTAGTCGTTTGCATTGGCGTTTCGTGGTAAAGGAAACGCCGGATGCAGGTAGGGGGTGTAGAGGACTGGTTCCCGGAATTCGGAAGAATTTCCAATCAGACTAAGACCCGCCCGCCTTTGTAAATCAGCATTGAATAAAATACTAGCGTACGGTGTTGCAGGCATAGGCGGATTGAACACTGACGTCGGCATCCAGAAGGAATTTAAATTTTTTGAATGAGCCTTACTGTAACCGTTACTACTGTTGTTGTTGTTGTTGTCATTGTTGCTACTGATGTGAGTATCTCTGGGATTGCTGTAATTTGTTGGTCCCATTGTTGTGGGTGATGATGATGCTGGTGAAGACGACGACGATGATGACGACAACGAAGAGAGAGACGATGTTGATGAAAAGGACGGCGCACGTGTATCAGATTTTTCTGTCTTCTTTGAAGGGGGAAGTTCCATGATTTTCTCGATTGAGAAAGTTAATTCTGTTTTGGGATTGTCGTTATTGCGTACAGGTGAGTTCCGATTACCCTCTTTCTTGATGAAGAGAGAAGATGAACGCGAAATGTTTGCGTCCATTTTGCGTGTGCCGCCGCCTTCTTCAAACATGGTGGAAATCTTAACTGTTATACACTTCACTTCTGTTGGTAATGTTCTTCTTCTTTTTTTCTTATTTCAACGGTGTTTCAAATAAATAAATATATCAGCAGTTGGTTGCTCTTGGTGAGAAACTGTTCGATGATTATTTTTGTTGTATCCTGTTATGTTCTTCAGCAATTAATACTGACTTTACTCCAGAGCGAAATGATGACCTAAGAAAAAGAAAAAAAAAGATTTGTTACTTTATTTAATCAAATAGGCATTTATATAGTTAATAAGAATAATTTATATGGTTAATAAAAATTAAAATGTAACATACATGCACAATAGTCTCGTAGCCTAATGATGAAAATGATTTATTTTTATGCAACAAAGACCTTTTTCTCAACATAAATTCCATGAAAGCCAATATTCAGTGGTTAATATTAATATTAGTATAATTCAAGTACATCGAACATTAAACATTGAAAATTTCATATAGAAATTCAGCTGAAAATTGTGGACCTAAACACATATCAATGAAAATTAGTTTGTTTCTTGATTAAATTTTGAGTTTGATTATTATCATCCAGATGAAAAATGAGAAATGTACTCCAGTCACCTTTTCTGCATCTCTTGCCTGGCTAGAGGGCATCACCTCGGCAACCGAAAAGTCGGCAATAGACTTGAAGCCCCCCCCCACTACATCTTCTAAAAGTTAAGGCATGCTTAATTTCACTTGCAATCTATGAGACAGAATGTACGGGTCGGCGAGTAATTACAAATCACAGGACCTTGATATCAATGAAGCAAGCGCTTTCAAAACTTTGGGTTTAAAGTGTAAGTTGCTCGCTTGACTGATGGGGTCACCGGGAATGTCGGTGGCGGCAAGAAAATCGACAATAAAATCATGGAAGTGGTCGTACTCGGACACAAGTTCATTTCCTATATATGACAAAGAGTATGTTACGTTAAAAAGGCTTAATCAGGGTGGAGTGGTTAAGTAATCTTCTTAATTACACTGTTCAATATTCTATGATAATAATAAATAAAATAATTACTTCTTTCTATACAGTTGCGTAGATCTTTAAATTTACTCATCAGGAGACAAAATTATATTTCATATACTTTCACATATCCTTCTTCAAAAAGTATAAAATGCGAAAGGAATATATCAATATCTAAGAAACTAAACTAATCCTTTTATTTAACACACACACACACACAGACGCGCATATATATATATATATATATATATATATATATATATATATATATATATATATATATATATATATATATATATAGGTGCTTACTGAAAATTTGCATTCAAAATCCGTGGTGTTCAAATATATGTAAAGGTGCAGAATTTATGGCGCAGATTTTATTATTTTCCCTCTTCAACAGGTTTAGAGCTACAGGTTTGTTTCCCCGACACAATTTGTATATTTATGAGTGAAAAATCTGGAATAGTTGTAGTTTAAATATCTAAGAAAGTGCGAGAATCTTCGCCACGCGTATTTTTGTGTGGGATGTTGAGTAATTATTGACGGTTACCTCGCCAGCTAATTGGTGGCCAGAGGTCAATGTATTTTCAATCTAGCAATGCGCTTACAACACTGCCCAGCAGGGGGGAGACAAAAGAGCGGGAACATTGCAGGCCAACGCCACATACGCTTGGCCAATCGCCAGTTGAATCTTGTTCACTAACAATTCTATAATGAAACTAGCTTCTTACTCTAATCATTAAAACACATCAACTCGAGAATATAACTCTCTCTCTCTTGCTTTCTCTATCTATCTCTCTCTCTCTCTCTCTCTCTCTCTGTGTATGTGTGTGTGTGTGTGTGTGTGTGTGTGTAGAAAAAGAGCTTGGTAGCCAGACGTATCAGTGCCTCTTCATACCATTGCTAGAATACATAAGTAGTGTTAAGTTAATTATGATGCTGTCGTTGTTGAACGAAGCTAAGTTTGACACAAGGCCAGAATAAAAGAGCACGAAGTAATGAGTGACAAAAGAAGCAAAGACTTAAATAGCCGTTAATCTGACACACATGTATATCTCCACTTTTTCCATGTAAAACTGACCTCGATTGGTATTTGCGTGGGTGGAATAGGAATAGTACTTGCAAGACCGGGCAATGCTTATTCTAGAATATTTAGATAACAAAACGTACAATGTTTGGTTAAAATGCTTTAAACGTATGGACGGTGTGGGCGAAACCTCAATCTTTCTTTAGTTATCACCCCATATTTATGTGTGTGTGTGTGTATGTGTGTGTGTGTGTGTATATACAAGAATTAAACTAACAACCTGGTGGTCATGAATGTACAAATGCAAAGTCCTGCGCTGACAACAAGTAAGCAACCACAGATTATGTAAGTTAACAAAGAAAATCAGTTATATTTATATAAGAGATATGTATAATAACAAGTATTAGGCCGATTAAACTAACCCCAAAACCATTCCTGCAACCAACCATTGATGCAAAGTGTTTGTTCATAATTGTATTTATGTTCCGACGATTGTGTAAACAAATCAATTTCTATTCTAAAGGTAATATGGCGGCATATCAAAACTGATAAAGCAAAATCAGTTTTTTTTTTATTATTTACATTTGAACTAATGTCCTCATATTTGTTGTTATTGGCACAACATTTCGGCCCTTGTGGTCTGCTTTCTTCCAGTGTATCAATTGACGATCTTGTTAACTTTCAACAAATTTCGGTTGGAAATCTTTATTTCATTTACGGGGATAGATTTGTTCATGTCCAGGGATATCTTATCTTACTTTTATTTAGTATAGCTTAGTTAATGTCAGTTATTTAGTATAGCTTAGTTAATGCCATCCCCACTGAGTGTAAGTTTCTATTACCCGATCTAGGGATTGAACTTTCAATTACTGTCATCAAATTCATGAACGCACACTTTGATCCATTCGGCCATATTCCCATTATTTTGTTTGTTTGTTTTATTAATCAAATATTGATTTTTTTTTTTAGTTTTAACTTTAAGCCTTTTCTGATAGATAAAGCTGATTAAATCTCCATTATTCTTAATGGAAAACGGGTTATTCCGATTAAAGCTAAATATGGTATATTAGACTCGGACCAGAAAAATCTAAGTTGTTAGTGTTTGTAGGCAATTGAAGCGGAATTAATAAAGTCTCTGCCTGTAACTGAAAATGTATTTAATTAGGAAAGAACAAATTGTATCCAAAACTGTGCCTTACTCGAAGTTATGCGAAATGTAAAGTGCTTGTGAGATATCATTGTTGAAAAATTGACACTGAAGAGATTCAACGCTGTTCGAGTTTTCGTTCACCTACTTAACAAGGCACTCAACCGCTTCTTGCAGATTTAAAATAGATTGAATTAACAGACACCAACCTTATACAGCGCACATAGACACCGACACATTTTTTGCAGGGTCCGTGGAGGCCACTCAAGTTTACAGGGAAGTTGAAGTCTAAATAAGCGAGTAAAAGTAAATTTCAAAACCGAATAAATAAAATAAAAGATCGATTTTCCAAAGATGAAGGCGCGATCGATATATCGATTGTTAACTGGTAATACAGACGGCTGACAAAAATGACAAATAATTATAGGAATGAAAGTTATTGATCTCTTATAAAATAAATATATTCTTTGCCGAGATCTTAAAGAAATTATTATTTTTTTTATTTTATATCTACGATATTTTTTTTATTTATTTGTGTGTATGTTGGCTTTTTTAATTTTTAAAAATAAGTATATTTCAGTTTTGCGATAAGAAAAATATGATGTGTCAAATCTAATATAAATCATAGGAATGTTAAATTATACACACGTACATAAGGCGATATAGTAAGAAAAGATTACTGTTTTGGGATAAGTTCAAATAAAGTATTAAACATTCGGGGAGAATATAATTAAAAGCTGCTGGGTGCCTAAACAGTGAAATCAGTCAGTCAACTATTACAAAGATTTTTCAATATTGAATGATTTATATTTATAGATAATTTATATTAGATACAAATAATTTCTTTCTTATATACTGTAATCCCATGCAATATATATATATATATATATATATATATATATGGTGCAATTGTTAAGTTGTCACCATTTTATATTTTTAATTTGGTGCATGCACGTTGTTTGTTTTTGATTTTGTTAACTGCACAGGATAGTAGGGTCATTTAGGAACGGGTGTGAAAAAAAAAAGGCACCATGGCGTAATTCACTCTGCCAGAATTTTGGAAACTGTATTCTTTACTGCTTAGCATTTGTACTGGAAGTTCCAATACGAGCATTTCAGAGTCTTTGAGTGTCAATCTGAGGACAATGCAGAGGATTCGAAAATTGTTTGATGAGTCTAATGGTGATTACGAAGATACGGGAGCTCGGAAAACTCACTGATAGTTCTGATAAGAAAAGAACCCTGAATGTATTGGTGAAGGCCTCAGACTCAACACGGAGGCCTACATCAAGAGGTAGTGATGCCCTGGGTCAAGATGGTGGCTGCATGAATACCCTATGTCTGGCAACAGGACTCTGCACCATGTCACACAAATAGGAGAATACATTCATGGCTCTCAGATAATTTCTGCGACCAGACCAACCCCTTACATCTGGTCACCTAACTCCTTGGACTGCAACCCCCACTTGATTATTATGTGTGGGGCGTAGTTGAGCGAGAGGCCAACAAAACGCCTTTTAACACCAAAGATGAACTGAAGGCAAAGATTATGTCAGCATTAACCAACTTAAACGAGGAAATCGTCTAGAAGTGTTGCTTGAGATTCTGAAGTCGTTTTGAGGCCCTGTTTGAAGCCAATGGCGATTTTATTTAATAAGTTTACTCTTTAGTATTTCAAGATATTTTTGTGTAATTATTGTAAAACAAGATGCCAGTTTTATTTCCATTTTTGCGTAATTCAAACGACAGTCTATCCATCGCAATCTGTATATATATATATATGTTTAATTTTTCTTGTGTTCGTAGAAGTGTGTGTTTTTTTCTGGACACAAAGTGTGTAAAAACCGTC